TTTTTGTTTTTCTTTTTAATTTGAGTTAGAATAAACGGTTTTGTTGTTTAGAATATAAGTTTTTGTTAATATGTTTGTGTTAAAATTTAAAATAAAATTTTTTATTTCAAATGTTTTTAGATATATTTTAGTTTTGAATTGAAAATTGAGGGTTTGTATGGTTATGTTTTCAAATGTATTCTTCCAATCCTTCAAAATTGGTCATTTTTAAGAGACTCCGTAAAAATGAATAATTTTTAACAGGCCTCTAAAATTTGTGTATAAAAAAAATTAACGGGTCACTAAAAGTTAAATTTTTAAAGGCCTCCAAATTTTATCGGATGTTTTACAGAATAGATTTGATTTGTATGTATGTGTTATAAAATATGCACATTTAGAATATAGGTACCATCTAAATTTATGCTTGGAAAAATTTTGGATAATATTAAAACTGTATGTTGTACCTTATTATTTTAAATTTTGAGTTGAAACATATGCCACATTGTTAGGCTATTTTAAGGCTATTTTTATACCCTATTCAAAAATTTTATGCTCCTCGTTTTTTGCAAAAATCAAGGTGCTCTGATAGCTTCGAACGAAGTCAGCAGAGCACCTCAGTTTTTTAAAGCTTTTTTCCAAAACCAACGACACCATATTTTTAGGCTATTTTTAGGCTCTTAAAATATTATAAAACTTTTCGAAAAATTTTGTTATTTTTAAAAAATACACTTCGGTTTATTATTATTTTTTTCAGAAAACTAGTTATGCTACATTTTTAAGCTATTTTTAGGCTCTTAAAACAATATATATATATAACTTTCCAAAAAAAAAAATGTATTTTTTAAAGAATTTGATTTGCTAGCTTCGAACGAATCCAGCAGAGCACCTCGGTTTTTTAAGCTTTTTTCTAAAAACAACTACACCACATTTTTAGGCTCTTGAAATATTATAGAATTTTACTAAAAAAATTGCTATTTTTAAATAATACAGGGTGCTTTGTTGGAGCAAAGTCAGCAGAGCACCTCGGTTTATTATTTATTTTTCAGAAAACTAGTTATACTACATTTTTAAGCTATTTTTAGGCTCTTAAAACAATATATAACTTTTCAAAATAAAATGCATAAAACCAATAATAAAAAGGTTTTGGTTATGGTTCCAATTTAAGTAGACACACAGTATATAAATATTCTTAGAAAAATACGGTGTGCTTTGCTTATTTGGAATATAGCCTATAGAGCACCTCGATTTTGTTTGTTGTTTCTATTAATAACTGAGAATAAGCAATTGCTTTTCTATTTAACTATTTTTTCATGTATTACTTACAGTTGACTTCGGATTGTAGAATATTCAAAAAATTATCTTCGAAAGTTACAAAAAATATTTAATTTAAGGATATAGTGCAATTGTTGGAAATAAAAGCACATAAGTTTAAAAAAAAAACGTTTATTATTTAAGTAACAATTTCCTAATAAAAGGCGTAAAAAAATAAATGATAAAAATGTAATGAGAAAATAAACGAGCACACGAAAAAAATAATAATAATCTTGGTGAACAATAAGAGAAGAACAGTTTTTGGAAGAGTGGTCAGCAATGAGCCTATCCTAATCTTAATAAGTATTTAATACAAATTTTCTTTTAATTTGACTTACAAAGTGATATTTTTGTAATCGCAGCGAGTGTCCAAATGATCTATCTACTTTGAGTTACATCAAATCAAAAATCAAAATCAAATATATTACGTACCAGATTACAAGTTTTTTTTTTTTTATCCATGGAGGGGATCGTACCTAGGCATATATGCCTGTCTTGTGTGATCCCTTCCATAAAAAAAATACAATAATAAATTGTTTTAAAAGTACAAAAAAAAATTAAAAAGAAAAACGACTCAGTAATAGGAGTAATAGGAAACTAAAGCAAGACAGGTCCAAAAAGTGAGATAGGTTTAAAACTTTCTCCTGTAGTATAGTTAAAAAATTGTAAAAAATACTTGAAAAGACACCAAAAATAATGTACGTTATTTGCAGTTTTATTTAAAATATTTCAAACATATCTGGGGAAGTTTAGATCAATTCCTTGATTTCAGTTTTAAATTTAGTTATTTGTTTCGTTGATAAAGGGAGAAGATTAAACAATTTGGGGCCAAAATAAAAGAAAGATCTTTGTGTTACCGTTTTTTGAAATAGGTCTACATTCAAATTTAAATTTGTAGTTGCTCTGGTTTTTGATGAAACCTTGTGTAGTTTATCCTGATCTCTGTATACCCTTTGAAGACACTGATATGTATATAATTGTCTTAAAGTAAAAATGTTTAATTCTTGATATAGTAGTTGAGTTGAATATAGTCTATCCTTTTTAAATAATATTTTAATTAATGTATTTAACGTAGTTTGCAGATTTTGTAACGTACTTTTAAAAGTACCACCCCATATCGTTATACAATACCTTAAAATTGATTCGGAAAACGAATTATAAATCATAAATAAATTGTTTTTTGAAAGAATATCTCTGTTATAAAATTTGGTAAACAAGACTCTTAAGCGTTTTGTAACGTAAGTGTTCGTTCCATCTTATGTGCTGGTCAATCATTACACCTAAATATTTTATTGCTACTGTTTTTTCCAAGATGGGACAGTTACATCTAGTATGATTGCATTTAGAGTCACGTAGTTTAACGTCTATTTTAGGTTGATCAGCTGTAGTAGGAGAAAAAGTAATATATTTTGTTTTTTCAATGTTTAGAGTCAATAAACTATAATCTAGATAAATTTTTATTTTTTTTAAGCCAGCTTCTGTATTTAATTTTACTTCATCCCAAGATGTCCCAGTCACTACAAGGGCAGTGTCATCAGCATAACATACAAGTTTTCCTTTAAAATGATTTATGTTGGAGATGCTATTTATGTAAATTAAAAATAGAATTGGACCCAATACTGTCCCCTGCGGCATTCCTATTTGTACTATTGAAACGGCACTTAATGTATCCCCTATTTTTACTTTTTGGGTTCTATCTGTTAAATAATTTCTAAGTAAATCAAGTCCTGTACCTCTAATGCCATAGTTACTCATTCTGATTAAGAGATCAGAGTGAGGAACCATATCGAAGGCTTTTGCCAGATCAAGGAAAACCGCTAGGCATTTACTTGATCTATCCAAGGCGCGGACTATCGGTTAAACTACATTTAATGTCACATCTTCAGTACTGGATTTTTTTTTTTTTTAGTTGAACATTATGTAACTGGTTATGTCATAAATATGTTCATGATTGCGAAAAGAAAATAAATAAAAGAAACCTTTTTTTGAATAATTTATATTATTTCAAGAGCCTAAAAATAGCCTAAAAATATGGTGTAGTTGTTTTTAGAAAAAAGCTTTAAAAAACCGAGGTGCTCTGCTGGATTCATTCGAAGCTAGCAAAGCACTTCGTATTCTTTATAAAATACATTTTTTTTGAAAAGTTATATATTGTTTTAAGAGCCTAAAAATAGCATAAAAACGTAGCATAACTAGTTTTCTGAGAAAAATAATAATAAACCGAGGTGCTCTGCTGACTTTGCTCCAACAAAGCACCCTCTATTATTTAAAAATAGCAATTTTTTATTAAAGTTTTATAATATTTTAAAAGCCTTAAAATAGCCTAAAAATGTGGTGTAGTTGTTTTTAGAAAAAAGCTTTGAAAAACCGAGGTGCTCTGATGAATTCGTTCGAAGCACCCTGTATTTTTTAAAAATAACATTTTTCGAGAAAAGTTTTATAATATTTTAAGGGCCTAAAAATAGCCTAGTTTTGGATAAAGGCTTTAAAAAACTGAGGGGCTTTGCTGACTTCGTTCGAAGCTAGCAGAGCACCTTGATTTTTGCAAAAAACGAGGAGCATAAAATTTTTGAATAGGGTATAAAAATAGCCTTAAAATGGCCTAAAAATGTGGCATATGTTTCAACTCAAAATTCCCAAGGTGCTTTGCTGCCTTCTTTGGCATAAAAAGAACATATTTACTGTAGTTTAAATGACATAAATAACAAACTGGCACGAATCTGCAAAATTTCAATAAAATTGAGTTGCTAATTATCTATAAATCCTCAAACTGTTAAGTAATGACACATACAGGTGGGTTATTGTCGAAATAAATGTAACTAATTGTTAATAAAATTATTATTATTATTATTGCTTGAAAAAAATCAAATAAGGTAAATAATATGGGAGAACTTGAATAAATAAATGTTTTAATACCTAGTCTGTTCGGCAGGCAGACTAGATAGATAATCAGCATTTCTCTTATCAGTACTAATTCACGTCGGATTGATTAATTTCATACCTTCTAGCCAGCAGAACTATCGCTATCTCCATTATCCTTGAAATATAGCACGTTCTAGCCATCAATTCGTAAATATAAAATTTTATTTCATTCACGGCTGTATTGATAGTTTTAGAGAAATACCTAGTTATTCGTCCACCCGAAGGTGGTGGGTACCATACATTCGGATTAAGTATTGATAAAAATTAAAACTATAATACTAGTGGCTATTGAATATTTGTTTGGTAGGCTAGATATTCAGAGAATCAGCATTGCTGTTATTTGTCATCAATATCAGTTCATACTTCTCAACATGCATAATTATTAGTGCCCTTTATTTATAATATGCACATTCTAAAGGATCGAATCGTAAATTTAAATTACCTATTTGTTTTCATTTTCTACACACGGAATGATAATTTTAATGAAACATAATTTTAGAACGTTCGGGCAGGTTCAGGTTAGTATTAACAAAGGTAGGTAGGTACAATAATAAAGACAACAAATAGGCGGGATTTCGTATAGTCGAAAGGTACGTAATTTTACCAGTTATTGATAAAATTATTATTGTTATGGTCAATTACGATAAAGTAAATAGAAAAATTAATAAACAATGACGTAACGTAGGTAAATAGAACGGGAGAAGTACGGTAGTTATTAATAGGTATTGTTTGGCGGGCGGATTAGATAGATAATAATTAAATCAGTTCATACAAGATTAAATTCGTACCTTCCAACCAGCAGAACTATTGCTGTCTCCTTTATCCTTGAAATAGGGCACGTTCTGGACCATCCATTCGTAAATCTGGCTGAGCGTAAGTCTCTGATCCGGCGACGTCTTTATGGCCTGAGTGATGAGATCAGCATAGCTGAGATTCCCCCAGGCGTTCCTCCTGCTGGAATTCTTTTTCGTGGGTACGCTAGCCGTCACGGAAGGGACGGGTCCCGGTCCCTGCTGGCCCGCCACACACTTGTTGCCCGCCTCATCGGCCGGCTCCACATAGTTTTCGGGCCGGGGCAGCGGCCACGTGTTTGAGCGCGCGCGAGTCTGCGGCTCAAAACCGTCCATCTCCGCCAAGGGCTCCATCAAGTTCATGTCCATTTTCTGGACGTTCCAGCCGCCGTACTGCCCGTTCATAGAAACTGAATCTTGAAACACTGAATTTATCCAAAAAAATAAAAAATATATCGTGTCACTATATTATCACTCAACGAACGTTGTCGAAAATCACTAGCTGGAACTAGAGAGGCGCAACATTCCACGCACAAATCTGTAATCGAGCTGTCACTTACGATTGGTACTTGTGACGCAGTTAACGCCGATTTACGCGATGTATCTCGTCAAGAACTCTCACGGAGCGCTGTACATCACACTAAGCGAGTCGGTCTGCGTCTGTTGGGTGAATTTTCCGTCGGCCCGTAACTCGTAATCGCGTTGGAGGACATGCCCACTTGCGCGTGCGCACCGCTTGGCGCCACGCACGCACTCTTGATTGTATAATTGTGGCACACGCATCTCGGCGTACACGTGATCCTACCTGAATGCCTAATTAGCGAAAAGGGCCTTCTTCCTTTATACGCTTTGGCGTTTTTTCGCCATGGGTTCGGTTGGAGCGGCGTCTAGCGCGCCTTTTGCCAGATAATATGCGATTTGTTTTTGTTTTGGACTTTGAACCGAGTTGCGATGTGAACGACGACCGTTGGATTTATCGCTTCAGCATGTGACTGGCAATTTGTGATCAATGTACAGGGTGATTAAACTGTTCAGTTATAATTTTTGTTTCGTCTCCTGAAATTGACGAAATGTGTTATCTGTTTTCGGTCGTGAATATTCTGATTGCTTTAAGCTACCTTGTTGTTACTGTTACCTTTCGTTCTTGGGATGACAATTGAGCACAGTGTTGCCAGATTGTTTGTTTGAATCAGTATTGCCAATTAAAAAAATATTTTTTGCTCCGGTACGCTACAAGTACGTCGGAAATTTGAAAAAATTATGGTACAATTAAAAAGATATTATTCCAAATAGCAAGTTTCTAAAAAAAAAAAAAAAAATGCGGATAACTGGTTATTAATCGAGAAAAATAGGAATTTTATTGGTCATATGGCTCTCATCCTATTACCCAGACATGGTAATTTCGAAGTTTTATCACTAGTAGGTACCTATATTAAAATAAGTAACTTACTTTTTCCTAAATTTTAACTGCTATTAGATAATTTATTTAATTTAATTTACCTTTTAACTAATTTATAATCTTTTGTTGACGCCTTTATAGTTAAAGATGACACATTGACACAAAGTTGTCGAGTTTGGAGTTTGTAATTTGCAACGTTGCCATATTGAAATTTTATTTTTCCTTTAATGTTGGTGTAAAAAAAATTGTGGGTAAATATTGGATAGACGCTCTTTTCTTAAATTTTTTTTCGAAACTTAAATTTTTGGTTTTAGGAAGGAGAGTAGGGTAAATGTGCTAGTACTCGGACAGTTTAAGTAAAAACAAATTGATTTTTTGACTAGAATATTTAGTTTTTTTTAGAGTAATAATTCTAAAACTTTCACCAGGCCCTAGATTGATAATTTGGCTTTATGACTATAATAATTAAATTATTTTTGTGGAATGCCATAATAATTCTTATGAATTAAACAGTAAAAAAAGGCCCTTTTTGCTAGTAGTCGGACAGGGAAAGCCACCCAAGCAGCAAGGTGCCGACATTATGACGTGATTTTTTGGGTTTACTCGTCAGAAACGTCACTATCCCAATTAATGACGTTACTTTGACGTCGTTTTTGCAACGTTAATTAGACGTCAATACAGACTCGTCATTATGACGTAATTTTTTAGTATATATTTATCCGAAATACAATATCCTAATCAGTAACGTGTATTTGACGTCGCATTGATGACATAGAATAGACGTCACTTAGAATTCGTCATAATTGCGTTGTTTGTTCGTTTATTTTAATACTTAAGTGTTGAATTATAAAGGACATAATTGGAAATCTTCAAATGAAAACATTTAAGTTTTTTCGAGCTGCAGTTTGTAAATTTTTTTGGTAAAATTACGGTGCCTTATGTTTTGATATGAATAATTAGTAACGTTCCGTTTTCTAGCATTAATCATTCAAGATTTTGTTGCCAGTCTCTTTTTAACGTATTGCCGCCAACCCAATTCCGATATCCTCGAATGTCAAATGGCAATGAGTTTTTCCAATCTCCAGTACAATTGTACTGAATCTAGTACATCTTAAAGGTAACATTTACGCTAGAAACGAAATTCAGTACATTGCTATCGTCCAGTATAATTATTATAAGTTAAACTAGTAAAAGTACCGTAAAGACTTAATAAATCCTAAACAATTGATAATATTCCTAAAACAACCAGAGAGGAAACCGATCCTAGTACATTTTTATGAAATCTGGTACAATCATTTATACCAATCTAGTACCAAACTAAAAAATATTCTGACAATGTCATATTGTCAATTGTCATTATTGTTTCCTGTTTCCTCCATCTTCATGATTCTCGTGACAGTCGTAACCTCGTGAAAGTGGTGTTCTATTTTTAAATTGTACTTTATTTGATAATATGTTTTAGAGAAAAGTAAAAAATAGAATGTGACAAAACAATAAAGTATATTAAACAGAATTTGGTATTTTACAGATGTATTGCATTGTTGAGTTTGAAAAACCGGATGATGACGGTCTGGCGGTTGTGAGGTGAGCAGAAAATGGCTGACGCTGCTTAAAAAACAAATCTTTTAGCCGATTGTATAAAGAAATATATAAAGAAATATAATATAAGACTGGTGAGTAATATTATACTTTTATTTTTGGAATTATGAGTTCTTTGAGGGTATTTTTTTAATAGTTTATTTAAAAATGAAAGATTTGTGGCGGTCACTTGATTTAGGTACCTCTTATCATCTTACAGAATATATGATCTTTTTTTTTATTAAAATTTATTATAAACTATATTATGTATACTAGATACACAATTTACTTTCTATCTTTAAGAATTTTCAGTGGTCTGTGTTTTAATAGTTCTTTTATTTTGGATGATAATGATAAGTGATGTACCAAAGGAAAAAAAAGTTACCTCAGATCTACATTCCAAAGCTGATAAAGTACCTAATAAAAGAAAACAGGTGCCAACTAGAAAGCTGTCATTCGATGATACTGAAGATGATATAATCGTCAAGCATGCTCGCCCACCCCCAATTAAAATTAAATCTACAATTTTAGGTATGTTGTGTCAGTTCCTCTAATATTGTTTTGTCATTTTATTCCTTTTGGTTCCTTGCTCATGACTTTTTTATTTACGTGTAATATAATTTTCATATGTTTTTTGGATTAAATATATAACTTTCATCTGCTTAGTATTTTTAATAATTCCATCCAACCTTGGCACACCCAATATAGATGTCACTTTGACGTAAGCTAGATTCGTGATAATGACGTCAATTTGTCTAGCCTAGGACACCCGATATACACGTTACTTTGACGTGATATCGATTCGTCAAAATGACGATATGGAATGCCGTCATTTCGCTGTGACATTCTCACGTTACCTTAACGTTATTTTCACGTCATCAAATGACGTAACGCACACCAAAAAATTACTTCATAATGACGGCATGATGTTGCATGGACAGTAGTCGACCAGCCAGAAGTCGGACAGCTTGTGATTGGCTAGTTTTCAAAAGATCCGCGTTTACTAGAATTTGTATAATCTTCATGGGATTTGAGAGATTTATAATACCTATTATGCAGGTTTTAAATAAATATTTACGTACTTACAGGTATAAGAAAAGATTAATAAAATGAAACTTAAAAATTAATAAAAACGTAAACTGGTAACCAAAAATAACATGCTAAATTTAAACTTGAACACTTTATTGCTTTCTAACAGAAATAGGTATAAACTCTTAAAAAAACAAAAACAATAATTGTTATTCTATAAGTGGTATTAAAAAACTTGGAAATTCTATAAAAAATAGAACGTTTAAATAAATAAAAAAAGGAACTAATTTGTCCAGGGAACGTCGCAAAAATCGCATATAAGATCCAAATTGGAGATTTCACTATAGGAAAGCCGTCTAAACTTGGTACAACCTAAACCCTTACAAGGCCATAAATAATTATATTTTTCGTAAAATACAATACAAAAATTGACATGTGTCAGAACTCTCGCTGTCAAACTTGGCAACGCTGATTAAATAAGCCAATAACAAGAGAAGTATTTCCCCACTCGGGGGGAGTAGATGTTGCTAACAAAATTTAGCGCGGGAAAGGAGGGAGGACTCCTTCTAGTAGTATTTGCTCGGAGTTACGTTTATGATCCATTTAAAATTGCTAAAATAAAAACATTACCCTCCCTATTATATTTTCTGCTGTTACAACGCTGTGTAAGATTTTAATCAAAAACAAATATAATAACACAAAACTAACCAAAAATCAAATTAAAAACAAAGGAGAATAAGAAAAAATTTATTTTAAATAATCACGCATGCGCGAAAGTAAAAGTTCGTATTTTATTTAGGAACTGTTTGAACTAATAACAAACATGAACACGTTTTTATTCTTGCGGAAACACCTATATTTTGTTTGTATTTTTTACACTGTGTTATTTGTAAAATGTGACATATACTATCTTTCTTATCAAATTGAATTTAAAAAAACTATTAACATACATATTATTTGAAAAGATCGTCAAAAATTTACATTTTTAATTTTTTAAATACTTTTGCTTTGAGCAAAAAACAAATAATGAATATAAAACATAATTCTTCCATTAAAATCAATATTTTAATAGGATACCTACCTACATGAAACGATCTATAGGCAAATAATATTAATCCACATTTAATATATTTTTATTAAAATTTTAAATCTTAGTTCGATGGGGACGAATTTAGGTATCTACATATTGGTACCTGTTCTTTTTGGGGGCGAGTTTATGTGCTTCTCTTCAGGTATGAGATTAACTCAGAGTGGGGACGAATTTAGGTACGTCCGTTTAATCTGTTTGGAACTTTGCTCTGCTGGAACAGTTATTTTGTACTGCGCATTCTCAATATGTTAGGAACTCGCTTCGGGAACAAATCTATTGACAACAAAGTCCTCGAGTTTGTAATTTGCAACGTTGCCATATTGAAATTTTATTTTCTGTCTAATAATGTTGGTGTCAAAAAAATTGTGAATAAATATAGGGGAGACGCTCTTTTCTTAAAAATTTTTTCCTAACTTAAATTTTTGGTTTTAGGAATAAGAGTACTTTTCAAATATATGTCAGCGGCGCCGATGTTTATCTGTTGTTTTGTTTATAGTTTTAAGAAGTTTGTTTATTGGTAGCCGAAATTTCAATAAGATAAGTTGTAAGCTTC